TAATTTTTTTAACAACCCCCCCCTTTCCCGTCAGTTTTTTTTTTTTTTTTTTTTTTTTACCATGTTAAGTTGTTGATGTGTAGAGGTGAGAAAATGCTGTAGTGCTGGAGGAGTTGGAGAGGCACTCCCTAACTCCTGTGATGCTTAAGTGTGCAAACAGAAATACTGGAAATAGAAGGGGAAGGCAATTACTTTGACTCTTTGAAATAATGGAAGCCTTTTCTTATATCTGAGGTGTTTCTCAGATGCTTGGAAAGTATGATGCGCACACACATAACTTAAGCATCCTTACTTATTACCTAAGCATTCTCTTGCTACGTTTGTAGTTGGGAGCTCTTGCTGCTGTTGGTATTAGGACAGCAGTACTAGAGTAACTTTGAAAACCCTTTTTTATTATGGAGATGGCTGTCACAAATCATTATCTAGTTCAAAGGACCTCAAATGTGGTTTTGTTAGGTACTATGACAGTAACAGCCAACTGCAGCATCCAGTTCCTGCACATGTACTGGAGAAGATGTATCTGTTGCCTTCATCTCTACTCTCCCATTGCACATCGGTGTACACGCCAAAGCAGAACTGCCAGACTCAAATTTCCACGTTTCTGGCTTCTATTCTTGCACGTCATTATTATCTTTTAATCTCTCTGCCTTCACACCTACTAGCTGGCCATCAGTAGCTGCTTGTGTTCAGGCAATTACAGGTTATCACTCGTCCTATAAACCACAGGATAAATACCTCCTTAATTGTGGTTGGCAATTGCTGCCTTTTAACACAGTGCAGTTATTAAAGTCAAGGTATAGAAGTCAGAACATTGTGATCTGCTAAGTCTTTACAGATTATGAGTCATGGACTTCAATTGAAAAATTGTCTCTACAAGGCAATGCAGGCTGTTTTGGAGAGGCAATTTGAGACGCTAATTGGTTCAGTTACTCATTCTAAATTTTTTTTTAAGATTGAGTTTAGTTGACTATAGCTGCACAAGTGTCTACTTACATCCACAGAATTGATATAATTGCCTGAGGCAACATATTTTAATACAAAGCACTTTAAAAGACTTAACGTTTTACTTTTTGTGAATGGTTACATGAAATTTTTCCTCCTGCAGGATCCTTGTCAGATCCCCCCAACATTGCTGGGCTTAGTCATTTTTGTGAGCATATGCTGTTCCTGGGAACCAAGAAATATCCAAAAGAGAATGAGTATAGCCAATTTCTTAGCGAGCATGCCGGGAGCTCAAATGCTTTCACGAGTGGAGAACATACCAATTATTACTTCGATGTCTCACATGAACATCTAGAAGGTGCACTAGACAGGTAAACACATTTTTTCCTACTTACTTTTTTGTTATATAGGTGCTATTTGAAATAACGTAAAACTTTTTTGATAGTTTTATCATTATGATATTAAAGAAAGGGTTGAGAGTGCTATCATTTGTTAAGACACCAGATATTTTTCATTTCAAAAGTTTTGCTCAGATTTTTTTCAGCTAGCAGAGTTCTTTACTGAGGCAGAATTTCAATGGTTGTGTTTACGCTGAATATTACACTGAATATTTTTGGATATGCGGGGCACACAATATGATTACGAACTTATGCATTGTGCAAATACCCTGACTGTGTAATCAAATGCTATGCTTCCCATAGAATCCTTATTTCATTGATAGCAAAAGAAAGATGAAGTCTAGAGATACATTAGGATGCCTTTAGTAAACAGAACTCACTGAAGTCTCTGCCCTTTGTTGGAGGGGACAGAAATTGAAAGCTGTGTAGGCAGTGAGGTAGAGTGGATTTTCCCTTTGGATTTTCCCTGGACGTCTGACAAGACAGATTTGATTTGCGAGAATAAGAGCCTCTTGCAGCTAAACTTCAAATCAGTAGAAATTTTCAGTGTATGAATTATGATGCAAGGTCCCTGATCTTCATAGTACTTTATACCATGAATATGTTGTTATCTGCATTTATAGATAAAGAAATTCAGAAATATAGTGAATCAGTGTCAAAACTGATAGAGAATTTATAAGTTCTGCATTAAAAAAATAATATATTCAGCTGTTCTCAGGAGGTACCAAGCTTCATACTTTTCTGTTACCATTTACATACAATACGCTTGACTTGAATTAAAATTTTTGTGTTTAGATTTGCCCAGTTTTTCCTGTGCCCTTTGTTTGATGAAAGCTGCAAAGACAGGGAAGTGAATGCTGTTGATTCTGAGCATGAGAAGAATCTGATGAATGATGCCTGGAGGTTGTTTCAGTTGGAGAAAGCTACTGGAAACCCCAATCATCCCTTCAGTAAATTTGGAACAGGTTTGTCAGAATATAATTATCCATCCATTGGAGTTCTGTGTAACATACATACAATTACTGTTTATATAAAATTGTTAAAGACAGACTGAAACAATTGCCTTTTCTTCCTTTCCATACATGTTTATTATGGTGCTTTTTCACATTTTCCACATCATAGACCAGAGCTAGACGAAAACATAGGAGAGGGAGCGATCCAAGACTTGCAGTACAGTGATGAAGCATCCTTTATGATTCTGATGATTACTGCAGTGAATGCTGTTTTCCATTTACTGGATTTGTCATAATTTGGTACTGTTAAGTCTTTGTGCATAATAAAGTGATTGAACTCTGTTTAAATTGTTGTTAGCTGCATCCTCTATTTGTTAACTAGTGTTGCATTAGGACTAGATGCTGGTGGCTAGGTTGAATCAGAAAGATCAGCAAAGTAATGTGAAAATTAGTGAGTAAGAATATAAAGTAAACATCCCAAAGCCTCAATTTAAAAAGCACTAAAGTAAAATACCATAGTTATGGTCAAAACCACAAATGTTTGATGCTTTGGCCCAAGTTTAAATTTTTTTTTTTTTCATAGAAGTTAGTTTCTACATGTATTTATTTTTGAAATTCTCAAAGTAACAGGGCTATTAATTCACTGCACTGTTTAATCCTTGCGCGTTAATGTGTTTTGTGGCTGGGTCAGTTTGCCGGATGAATAGTTGATGCAAATATTTGGTACAGTAGGATGATGGGAGGGCAGATAATGGGCTTTAAGGACAGGTTTCTTCTCAAGAAAGAGAAGAATGTTTTTGCACTTGTTGATGGAGGGCATAGTTGAGGTGCTGGTAGTCAGCTGCTACAAGAGCATGTTTACCATTGCTCTGTTTACCAATGGAGAGACGGTCTGAAACAGGAAAACTATAACTGCATTCTCCAAAGAGGTAAATTTGAAAAGAAAGTCTTGGAAACTACGTATTAACAGGCAGGCAAGCATCCAAAGTACATTCTGTAATCTCTGCTACGGAAGAGATTATTAAATTTTTATATAGCGCTCAGAAAACATAAGTGGAAGTTGCAGAAATAGTTTTCTACAATTTAAAGTTTTATAGCTGACACAACTGAAATGTTTTAATGGGGGGAATACCCAAAATGTGTTGAAATTCAGTAACAGTAGTCATAATCACCTCTTCTTAGATTAGGCTTTGATTCTGAAATTAAATTATAGCACATAGCCTTCCCGTAGATCTGACTTTGCAGTAGAGACCAGTTTTGATGGGTTTTATTTACCCAAAGAGATGACAATTGTGATGCCGTTCTAATGACAATTGCAGTCTGCATCCTTCTTATTGTTTCCTTTTGACCAGCTGAGATGTTAGTCTAGCAGAATACAGGAATGACACCATTTGATGCTTCAGGTCACTCCTCGTTGCTGTGCAGCCTGTTTGCCAGCAAGCCTTCTATTACTCTTTGTCTGTCCAGAGAACCAAACACACCTTAATCTTCCAGTTTTCTTGTTAGGATGTGCGTTTTGTCCCTGGATACCCCTCACCCATCTCCCTGAATTAATGCATGTGGTGATGGCAATTCTCCATCAGTACCCTCAACAGCGTTAAGTACTTTCCCAGGCACTTCTGCACCGTCTAGTGTCCATTGTCCTACAGCTACAAGGTGTCTCCTGAAGGTTGCCTCTTAATGTACTCCAGTACTTTAACAGCATAGTTACTGAAGTAAAGCTTTAGCTTTTATTTTATTTTATTTTAACCTGTGTATTGATTCGGTGAGAATAAACACAGTAGGTTATCTAAAACTTCTGCATTTCATTTGTCTTCAGATGAATACAGACAAAATATTTTAAATGTAATACCTTAATTATCCTTTTTAGGTGTCATTAAGAATCCTTGCTTTTACTCACATATGGACTTTGAGAATTAAAGCAATATATTGTTTCAGGCAGCCTCTCTATGATGATTTGTTGACCATTGCAGTTGTAATTTGACTTGTATCTAATGACCAAAATCTGGGCAATATTAGACAAAAAATGTCTATTATTTATGTAGCTAATTCTGCCTCATTGATTTGTATTAACTTATATGTGTGATTGTGGTATTTGTGCAGTGGGCATATATGCACAGCAGGCATGCTTTCCCAGTCTTTTCTCTCTTTCTTGCTGTTTTTCCTATAAACACACAAGTCAGCTTTTCTGCTACATGTTTATGCTAAATGTTTAGGTTAGATACTTGGATAAATTTCTTCACAGAAAGGGTTGTCGGGCACTGGAATGGGCTGCCCAGGGAAGTGGTTGAGTCCCCATCCCTGGAGGTATTTAAAAGACGAGTAGACGAGGTGCTTAGGGACGTGGTTTAGTGGTGGGATGGCAGTGTTAGGTTAATGGCTGGACTTGATGATCTTAAAGGTCTTTTCCAACCTAAATGGTTCTATGATTCCATGTTCTTGCCTTACCCTTCCTCCTCATCCCTTGCTCTCTTTTGTACCTGGTGTGGTTGTGGCTTCAAGAAGTTAATTGTTTCAATGTCAACAGATAAAGTATTAGTTTGCAGTTCTGGTCTGTAGATTCTGTTGACCATTTTGTGTGTCCGTGTAGCAATGGGAAGTGGAGTTGATTAAAATCCAGCGTGTTGTTCTTAGACTCTTAATTTTTCTGTTGGTTCAATTCTTACCTTTACTAAGCATGAGTTCTGCTTTGACTATAAATGTGGAGTATGTCCATAGAGTAAATTATTGAAAGCTTGATGCTGATGTAAAGGTTGCACTACTTAACAGGAGGGTAACTTAATGGAGAAAGTTTGGTATCTTCTGCTTATGGGCTTATTCAGGGAGAGTTGTGGTCGTAGTTCTCTCCCTCTCTAGTCCTGTTCCTCTACTGCAGCAACAGCTCAGCTATTTGTGAAGCAGAAGCTGAACAGTTGCAATTTACAAATCAAGTCTGTAAATTGGTAAATAGTTATTTAACTTAATTCACAATGCCACAAATAATTTCACACAGTGATGCCTATGAAAAGAGTGTGTATATGGGAGTAAAACCTACTCCAAATGTGCCAAAGAAAAACCTGTTTCTTCTTCTGAATTAGAGCCTGGCCTTACTTGCATTGCTTTGAAATAATCCATTCAAAATAAAAAAGTTAATTTGGAAGACTAAAACATCCTCAGTTTTCTTTAGGAATGTGCAGATTGTAAGTATTTATTATCTCTGATAAGCTGAGACAGTATTGATCCAGTTTACTGTGCATAGTAATTATTTTTACAGTTACTATCCATCTGGAGGAAAGCAGATTTATTAATTTATATTTTTATTTTTTAATTGTAAATTCAGAAACATCAAGTATTGTTAACTGGTTGGGGTTTTTTATGTTACAGGGAACAAATTCACTCTGGAAACTAGACCAACCAAAGAAGGAATAGATGTAAGACAAGAGCTATTGAAGTTTCATTCTACTTACTACTCATCAAATTTAATGGCTATTTGTGTCTTAGGAAGAGGTGAGTGCTGCTCTGTTGGTTGGCTAAGACTTTAAATGTATTTAATGAAGCGTATGCAAATGTCTGAAAATCTACAGGAGGGAAAACAGTAGAACTTTTACAGACTGACCAAATGTAATCTTATGTTTAGTGAAGTCTCCAAAGTAACTTACAGTGTATAAATTTGTGTTTATAAGCTTAAAATAGAAAAAAAATAAGCTGAAAATTTTAAATCCATTGTCAAGTCACCAGTTGCTGTTGTTGTATGTTTGTCTTACGAAGACTGACATCTGTCTAGTTTCAGATGTTGGGAGGGCTTTTGATACTGTTCTCCTATTTTAGACTTACACTTCCACTACAAAAATCTCTGTATTATCAAAGGATAAACCTGACCTAACATTTAGATAAAAACCCTTTACTTCAGTTTACTGCTGAATTAAATTAACAGAGGTTCCAACTGCTTAAAATCGTCCACAGTCAAGATGATATTTTACACAGGTTTGCGAAAAGCTTAATAACAGTGTGTTGAAAACAGTTTGCTTTTTGAAAATATGCTGGCAGACTGGTATTTGTATGGTGTTTTACAGTAATGCTCAGATGGTATGAATGGAATAAAATTAATCAGCAAAGTGAAATCTTCATTTACAACTATCTGTTTACAGGATGCTGAGTATGAAGTTGATTAACAAAATATACCTGTTTAATTTCAATTATAGCATATATATGAATCATTTTTTCTTGTAATTTTTTAAGGTGGGCAAACACAGGGAAGATTATACTTCTTAACTGAATCCAAGTTTTGTGCATATACTCACTACTGAATCAGTTCCAGGTGCCCTAATTCCTTTCAGTTCAGTTTATTATTGTATGTCACCTGCTGTGACATCACATATTGATTAGAATACGGTGGAAGTTTTTTTTCACTGTTGCAAGCTGAACAGTAGAATGTATTAGATTTTTTTTTTTTTTTTTTTCTTTTTAAAGGTTGGGGTATCAGACATGTTACTAGTAGGTATGTAGGTAATACCATCAGGGCTTAATGTATGTCATGTGTGAAAATGCCTTGCTTATTCTCCTGATAGTAGTGGAAACTTTTTGCAAGTAAATGCTGTAATGTTGATGAAGATAGCTTGTAAATATTTTTTAATATTGTGAATTTATTTTTATTGCTACTTAAGAGGTGCTTCCCCCTTCTGTTTTTTTCATTCTGCTTTTTTTTAGCTGTGCAAAATTTAAAAAAAAGTTTTATTTTCTTTAAAAATACTTGTTTATTAATTGAAGGTAAATAGATATTGATCAGAGTTTAAAACAATTGAATTAAAATCGTTTTCCTCATTTAACAATTCTGTTTGCAAGGTTTCCAGGCATCTTTTTTTCTCCAACTAGTTCTTCATGGTTCAGGCAACATTCCAGGACAGGCAAGATCTGCATTTCAAATATCAATAAAATGTACAAAATAGTCTTAAAATCTGTTACCTTGCAAATGTTTCTGCAGTTTGCACATGCGTATTTTTTTTACTACAATATACAAAAATTATTCTTGTTAAAAACCTGAATTTAGGTGGGTTTACTAGTAATTTTCCACAGTAGAATTCTTTGTGTGAGTTGCCCTTGTAAATAGTTCAATACTTAGAAAAATCTTGGGATTTTTCATTTCAATCTTATAAATAAATTTTTCAAAGGTAACTCTTGGGCTTTTTGTTAGTCTGCTTCTATACAAAATGCCATACAACTACCCTTATTTGTTATATTTAATTAAGTAGTTGTTAGTGTAATAGCGAAGTGCTATTTGGACAAAAGTTGCATCTTATTTTCCCTGAAAGGACACATACTTCTCACTCTGTTATTTGTTCAAGCAGGAGAATTATGCAATTGTTTTCCAGAAGGCTTTATATTAATGACTGATTTGGCTATTTGAGGGCTTGCCTCTAGCATCAAATTTGAAAATTTACAAGTTCCACATTCTTCCTGGCTTTTCTTTTTGCTTTTCAGGGAGCTTCACCCATAAAAAGCAAACTGCAGAAAGAAAACCTTGTTAGCGTTATTCCATAAATTCTTTGCTGAAACACTTGGCTATCAATGTAGCAGTAGTGCTAATAAATACATAAATAGTTAGAATTTCTGTAACATGAAAATATGTTGAGTTGCACACTGAAAGTCCCCCATGATCTCTCTGCTCTTCTACATTCTGAAATAAATGGATGTCTAAAGCTATGTGCAGCCGAGTAGTTATCTGATTTTTCCCACCACTTCATATACGTATGTAAAAGAAATAAAAACATGTCATAAAAAGTGGTGGGGGAATCGGAATATGATTTTTGTAGTAATTAGTAATATATATTCAACAGTTTTCTAAAATTAAGTAATGAAATCCAATTAATTGTTTTTATCTAATCAAAGCCAAATTCTCTGATTAATCATAGAACAGCTTTAGTACAGCAGTTCACATACAGACTTTTCAATGGAAACTTTTTCAGTAAGAATCACCCTGGCAACTGGAAATCTGTCTTAAAGAAAACCCTCACTGTACTTGTAAAGCTTAAATGAATGTGTATTTTGCTGACATGGATAAAAAATAGTGGTCTTTTTGTGAACCGCATGTAATTTCTATTAGTTTTATTGTGCAGTGACCCATCTTGGTTTGCATTGTTGTTTTTTTTTTCCCTGCACAGTTTTCTCAGTGTAGTGTAGGAGCACACATATGTTAGGCAGGAAAGATTCTGCTTTCTAAATCTAACTGGAATTGTGTTGACTAACAAGGTGACTGCTTTTTGAAATCTTCCAAGGATTAAGGTTGTACTTTGAGGCATCCAAGAAACGCCCAGTTGTTTCTTCAACGCCCACCCTTGAAAGGCGTGTGCTAAAAAACTTGACGGATGAGTCTTTCTTATCTTATTCTCACTTTGAGAAGCGCTCCAAAATGCATTTCTTTACGCAGATAGCTATTTTGAAGGCAGTATTTCAACAGAAACAGTATAGGTCAGTTTAGGTGAATTCATGCACAACATCAAATTCTTTCCCCAAATGGTCTTCCTCTTGTTTTTGGAGAGTACTGGAGTCACAGTCTGAAACTAGAATGGATGTAAAAGTAGAATTGGTTAAACAGGTCACAGATGTGTGTGAAATTTTAGGTCACTGAGGGCAGATGACCCTGGCTCACAGTGTACATGAAGTACTGGAGGTGATCTGAGGCTGAAGAAAATACAGGTTGTGGCAAAGACAGTTTCACTCTGGAAACTTTGCAGCTGTAATTCCATGTCCCTTAAGCTTTTTGTGGAATGTTTATTTTTGTAAATGTTCAATATCTGATGTGTCTTTTCTTCAGTTCCAGCTTAGATTCATCAGTAAAATTTAAAGATGTTTTTTCTGGTTACAAGATGTATTTTTATCATGGTTGAGGCCTTTCTATATTAAGTGTGGTGCTTATAGCACATTATAGTTCAAAACTTAAGATTAATGTAGATTTCCTTTCTGAAATTAATAGTCATCATACTATTAAAACTGCTTTTCTGTATAATTCATGTGTCCCCCAAAGAATAATGCAAAATCTGAATTTGCCAGAATCTTCAAATAATGATTATGCTTTTTCTACTGTTTCTTTATTCTAGAATCGTTGGATGAGCTGACTTGCTTAGTGGTAAAGTTATTTTCAGAAGTAGAGAATAAAAATGTCCCTATACCAGAGTTTCCTGAACATCCTTTCCAAGAAGAACATCTCCGGGTATGTATATAGAGATATATATTCCATCAGCAGTGTACACCTTAAATGATATTTTTTGTATTACACTAATACATTGTGCACTTCACTACTTTTGTATCAATGTCCCTTTGAAGTTCCATATTTCTTTCTTAATTTTCTACCCACCTTTTCATGCTGAGTCTAGTTATAGTTCTGTATAGTTTATAGTAAAAGTTGTACCTTTGGTTGCAGCTGTAAGCAACTGAGAGATAACTAATGCTCTTTTTGTTTGTGTCGTGAAGGGCTGAAGTGTTGCCCTAAGTTTTACGTATCTTTACTTTTGAGATTTTGCTGATAGGTTTGTAATAAAATATGTGTGTGAAGGGAACATGATATGTCCTCCTGAGATGAATAAAATAATGAGTTTCTTTTTGTTTATGGATCTCCTTGTTTATTTCCCCCCTCAGCAACTTTACAAAGTGGTACCTATTAAGGACATTAGAAATCTTTATGTCACGTTTCCTATACCAGACCTTCAGAAGTACTATAAATCAAACCCTGGCCATTACCTTGGTCATCTGATTGGGCATGAAGGCCCGGGGAGTCTTTTATCGGAGCTTAAAGCCAAAGGTAAGTCCCTTGAAGGTAAAGAATCAAAAAGTAGTTTATTAAACAATTTTTTAAAGCTTAGCTACATTTCACTTGAAATTGACCTCTGTATGTTAAATTTAAAGCCCTTGACTGAGTAATTTGAGTTAAAAGTAATTTTGTGCTTTATTTTTGTTTCTGTGGTGGGTAAAAATAAATAAATAATAGGCACTCTAACTACCAAAGCTGTTATTTCTTGCACACCCCTTTATCTACCCCTGTTCAGAGAGTTACATGGACTTTGACATAATGATCTTGTCTGTGTTCTGTCACTGACTTAGAGACTGTTGTCAGGTCCCTTAATGCCTGGAAGACTGCAAGAGTGTTATCTTCTGCTATTTTTCTTTATATTACTGTGTTCCAAGCAGAAATAAATTCCCAGTAATCAAATGATCTTGAGTTTGTCATATCACTGAGCACAAAATCAGATAGGTCTGACTTGTGTTATGTTTAACTTGCACTGTTGCTACAGGCAATGAGGAAGAGAAGGAGAAACATGTAAAGTAGTCAAAATGTAAGAAAAAAAAAAAAAGGAAGAAGTAATGTTGCTGAAGCGTACAAAACGTAGCATAAATTGTTACAGATCTGTTTATGTAATATATTTTCTTCTTGTTTTCATAGGATGGGTAAATACTCTTGTTGGAGGACAGAAGGAAGGTGCTAGAGGTTTCATGTTTTTCATCATTAACGTGGACTTGACAGAGGAAGGACTTTGTAAGTGAAGCACTGTCTGCCATCCATGTTATTCCTGATCTGATGGGTTTATGTTTGTATCCAAAGATACTAATTGTGTTTATGGCTTGAAAGCCAATTTATTTTAACTAACTGGTTATTCTTCTGTGTTTAGATCCTCTCAGCATGTTAACACACTTCATCTAACATAAGAAACCTTCTTATTTGAGGTTATATTAATTTCACTAAGTATTTTAAAGTAAATTTCTTTAAAAGAAAAGCTGTTAATACCTTTGTGTGCTACTTACACTATTTAGACCTGAGTTAAATTATATTTATTATAAATCAGTATCTTATCATAAGACATGATCAATGCAGTTCTCAGAATTAGCTGGGGACCTAAACACTTATTTTAAATTCATGTCTGAGAAAAACATGTTTTAACTTTGCCAGTGGGATTGCAAATGTACTTAAATATCTTGATGTATCAGGGTGTAATTAAAAATAAAACCTTACATATTTGTCAGCAGAACTTTTTCTTTGTGCAGAACTGAATGAATTAGTTATTAAGTATTTTTTCTTTACAGTGCACGTTGAAGATATTATTTTGCACATGTTCCAATATATTCAAAAACTACGTACAGAAGGACCTCAAGAATGGGTTTTCCAAGAGTGCAAGGTACAATGATTGGTACTTGAAACATGTGGTGGTTGTATTTTTGCAAATTTTTAGAATATAAGCAGAAAGAGATTCCTTGGCTGTGGAAAGGGCCTTTAATAATTGCATGGTTATTAAGTTTATTCATTTTAAAGGTGCAACATGGCACAAATGGCAAGTACATTCAGAATATATTGTCTTCATGTAGATGTGAAATGTTCTTCTAGAGCTGTGACATTTTATGATGATACAATGGAGGTGGAGAGAGAAGTATCTTACTCTGTCCACAAGGATTTGCATAACCTTCCTTAGTCTTCACTGAAGGTGGAGGAGGGGAAGCATTTGCTGTGAGGGGTAACACTGAATTGGAAATTCAAATGGCTGTTATTCTACTCCTTTCTTCTTTCATGTGTCAGATTGTATAGTTGAGATTGTAAAGGCAATAGGACATTTAATCTGCTGTTTATTCTCTCACCTTTTTGAGAGGTGAACTAAAACTTTTCATGGAGTACTTTGGCTGTACACTTCAGTTTTTGCTGAAGTGTTCATGCTTCTTATAAACGTATGGTTCTGTGTGCACAGAGTAAAAATGTAAAGTATCCAATTAGAACTAAATAGTACTGCACTCCTCAGCAACAGTGTGAAATAAAAACAGAGGGTTTTTTATATGTGGTCTCATTGGTTCACTACATGTACTTGGGTAAAGATTTCTTTTTCCGTCATAGCTTTATTTGGTGAAAACTGTTGAGTCTCTAGGAATTCTGCAGATGTGTTCCTTGCGTTTTGACACTGTATACCTGTAAAAGAAGTCTCTTTACCCTCTACTAAAGCCTCAGTGGAATTGTTTCACTGTCATTGTGAGCAAATACAAGATTTGAAAAAGAAAGAGGTAGTTCCATCCTGCTATCTCATTCCTGTGTCTTTCCCTTGCTCCTCTTATATCCGCCCCAGCACTCTTGAGGCTTTGAGGTGAGTCAGAAGAGCTGGCAAACTAGTTTGAAAAGAATCTGCTTTTGAGTTTATTTTCAGCTGAACTGTTGAATTAACAAGACTCTCTGCATGATTTCACAGAAGGATAGACCGTCCTTGTTATTGGCTTTATAGTAGAGCTCTTTAATTCACCCTTGCCGTTGTATTCTAAGAATGATGTGTTCTGTTTCTGTGGCTAAGAGCAGAAAGAAACACACTTTTTCTCTCTCTAAACTTACCTTCTGGCTAGCTGAACAAAAAGGAAGAAGGAAAGGCTTTAGTTCATTAACACACACCAAGCATTGCACTGAAACACTATGCATTGGTTGTATCAAAGTTGGTGTGTTCTCAAATTATCAGGAAATGTAAATATATGAGCTACAGGACAGATTTTTTTTTTTTTTTTTTTTTTTTTACTGTGAACAGGACTTGTGTAACACTTCATATTGTGAGACTATCCAGAATTGCTTGTGAGTTTTGTGCAACTTTAATATTACTGAAAACTTGTGTTGGGTACCTGTCTAACTACTATAAATTGATACAACAATACTCCTTCCTTTTCTCATGTTATAAAAAGGAATTAAGTGCCCAATAATTGTTCTTGAAATAGTCTTTAATATATGCTTTTCAACCCTTGCTATGTTGTTTCCTAGGATCTAAATGCTGTGGCATTCAGATTTAAAGATAAAGAACGACCACGAGGTTATACATCAAAGCTTGGAGGAATGCTGCATGTAAGTGTGTGGATTTTGTTCGTTTGTTTTAAATATAGGAATCATTTAGCAACATGTTTGATTATGCTTTTAATAAATACAGGTATTGTGAAGGTCCTTTGCCCTTCTTGAGCTTGAAGCTAATATGCTGCATAGATCTTAGTGTTAGCAGTCCGTAAGTCACATTTCCTTCGCTCCCTACTGCTTTCACTTGGTAGAACTGATTTTACAGTAGCTGGAGTTGCTATTTGATCTGTTTCAGTGTTTCTTAAGACATATGTACCTTGCCATTCTGTGTCTACCTGATACCTAAATGTTCTCTAGGGAAAATAGTAGAGGAATAATATTTTATCATAAACATGAGCACTGTGTTTCTCAGTGCTTCCATAGTTAACAATGTTGAAATACTGCAGCAAGCAGAAATGTTCGTATGAAGACTTAGAACTTAGAAATGTTTGACTCTACTAATGTGGTTACTGAAAGAATCATCATGTAGCTCATACTTAGTCTTTATACTTCCTGCAAAATTCAGTTCCCTCATTTTGCAGTAAGGGAAGATGTAGGTGGGGTTTTTTTGTCTAGTGAAATTCATGCAACTTCTATACATTGCAGCCATTCTCTGTCGCACATCTAATGTCTACATCTACTCAGAGGCATTTTTGGTTTCTTTGCAGGAATTTCCTTTAATGCTCCTACACCTTTAATTTGTAAAGTCTAAACTAATGATCTTTAATTTTAGAATTGTCTTTCTGTTTAATAAAAAGCGTTAGACTTAACTGAGAACATTTAAATGGATATTTAAAGGAGCTCCTGTTTTGGATGCTCTCTTGCTTTTGTTCTGTCAAATGCATAAAATCTCCTTAAGAAATGGACTTCTGAAACAGTCTTTCAGTGGTCTGTATTTGTTGGATCATGCCTGATTACAATTGCTGTCCCCAAAAATCAGGCCAGGAAGTTGCCAGCAGTGTTCCAAAGAGCGGACTATTGATTCAGGCCTTTTTTTTTCCCCACTGCTTTTCTTCTGCTGTGCTTTGCAGGATGAATGGTAATTCTGATTTTGCTGTTAGTTGCTTAAACACTAACAGAAAAATAACTTTTCTGGTGCTCTTTATTGCCTCTGAGTCATACTAAGTTTGTGCTTTGAATTAACCAAGCTAGAACTGTTGTTCGGTGATCTCATGTGCTTACGAATACTAGCTGTTTTTCATAACTTGGAGAGGAACCTGTTTATAAGTTAGCATGAGTAAATGTAATGTCCTAAATAGTTACGTATTTACCAAAAGGATTTAAACAACCTTTTTATTCAACAAAACAGATGTTCATCTTTAAAGCACATTTGTGCTGGTGTAAGGAGTCACCACTAAGGTCTTGCTGTCATTCTATTTCGTATTTGTCATGTGTAGGTTTGACGTTTTCCAATTAGTTGTTCCCTCATTTGCAGTACCCTTTTTTCTTTAGTTTTGTTTTGTCTCTATTGTATAATTTTTAAAATTTCATTTTAATCTGATTGTTATATGCAGATTGTTTTAGTCTGTTTTATTTTAGTTACATTATGCTCTGACCTTGCTGAAAAGTAATCACAGAATCAGAATGGTTGAGGTTGGACTGGACCTCAGGCGGTCATCTTGTCCAACCATCCTGCTCAAGCAATACAAAAATAGCAAAGTAATGAAATAAATTTTATGTTCAGTTCCAGTCAGTGGGCAGGCTGTGGTCTGTGTTTGTAAAGGAAATAAAGTCACAAAATCTGTATTGCCTTGGTAATTTCAGATTAGAAGTGCATAGACTACTTAAATCTCCCCTTCAAGTTGCTTACTCTGCTTAACTATAGCATGTAGTTAAATAGCATTCTTCAGTGTACGATGAATCTTTTGGAACAAGACCTTTCAAATTCTGGATTTTTAGCATTCACATTTGAATTTTTTATAACACAGGTTTGGTTCATTATCCTTTGTCTCCACACACCCCCTGACCCTTTCTCTTTTCCAAAATCCTTTGTGCGAGTTACTCTGTGTTCTGGAAGCCATTCCACTGTAGTTTTTTCTGTAATGTATGTAATTCAGAAGGCCATTTTACAATAATTCTGGTCAAAAAAAGTACACCTGTATGGCAAACTGTAAGTACTCAGTGCTTAGCTTACCTGGTATTTTTCGTTGGTAACAGATGTTTATCAACAAAGTTTTCCTGTTTCCACACTAGTCATTTTCAGAGTAATTTTAACTTTTTCGTCTTAAATTGTGATGTACTGAGATTTTTTCAGTTTGATCCTAAATAAAAAATGTTAGAATTAAAGTTGTATAAATTTGTATCATGCTTTTAGATAATTGAAATGTACTTTCCTTTAAATTACTGTAAATAAAAATTGAATTCTGAGAGAATCCTAAAAAACTTAGTGGGGTGGGTTTTGGATGGGGTTTAGTTATTTGGGTTTGGGTTTTTTCTTTTTCTTTTTTTTTTTTTTTTCCCTTTGTTATGTTTTGTCTTTCCGAAATGCACTCTAGTGAGTACTTGGTGTTCTTTTATCTTTAAAAATATCCTCCAGGGGTCAGCATTTACCATGTTATTTTTACTTCAGTTGCTTCAAAACAATATTTAAAGGTGGGTGACTTTTTATATTGAGTCATAATATTGCAAGAGAAAAGAGTGGTAATATGCAATACATAAAATTACCTAATATAGGAGAAGTATGATTGCATAGTTAAAGTACTACTCAGTCCTGCTTAGTTTCAAGAGAAAGATTTTAAGACATCTGTGCACTTCTAATTTGAAATTACCAAGGTAATACAGATTTAGTGACCATAAGCGTACTTTTATTTCCTTTACAAAACAGTAGTTTTTTCATGCTTAGTTTTTGTTTAATTCACTTACGTGTTTCTGGGCTTTGTTTTTTAGTATTATCCTATAGAAGAAGTATTGGCTGCTGAGTATTTGCTTGAAGAATTCAGGCCTGATTTAATAGAGATGGTACTGGATAAATTGAGACCAGAAAATGTCCGGTAAGTTAAACTGCAATAACTTGTATTTTAACCCAAACATTATAACAAAGCAGATGAACTAATGGAAACACAAGTTCTTAGGTGTCTCTTACTGCTCCAAAGTAAATGTCACTGAAAAAGAGCTAGTTGTTCTGTGTGTGAATGTCTCTGCTCTCCATTGAAAATAAGCACTCTTCAGTGCATGCAACTCTTCCTGTTCAGACAGAAACGTCCTTTCAGTCCTTTCTATGCAGGATGTCTTCCTCAGACTGAAATAGTTTTTAGGAAGATACTCAGAATAGCTCAACTGTTACTGAGAAAAAGCCTAGTAAAATTATTCTGCCTCACTAAATTCTTGGGACATTTTATATGGAATGCTCTAATATTTATAATTTGGAGTTAGGTCTGGAAATCTGTAAAGAGGATGGGTTTTATCTTCTGTATTTATTTTATTTTCTCTATGGAGAGCTATGAAACTTCATGCAGATTAGCAGACCCTCTGAAAAATACCAATTTATGTGGGTAGAAATAGCTGTGTCTTTAGCTGCTAAAATATCTCAGACTTCCAGAGCATCTCTTTGATGTCAGCGTGACCATACTGCATACGTGCTTTCTTTGCAGAGTGAGCGTGTTGCAGTACAAATTTCAGGGCTCAGTAATTGGTCAGACTAGATGTTGAAAGGAAGAGGGGAAGCCTTTCTCTCTCCTGTGCTTTTGAGGATCTGTTGTCACCCAAGCAGGGTAGAAAAGGGAGGCCAAAAGAGCAAATGTACCTAATGTCTATTTGAATACCTAAAGAACAATAGTGTGACCAGGATGAGGGAAATAATACTTTGCTGAGCTGGTGATTTACAAGTGAAGGAATCTAGAAGTGGAGAAGAAAATGAAGGCAGGTGAAAAAAGGGTGCATTAATTGAGGAGGAGGAAGGGCTGAGCAAAGGGTTAAGGAAGAGAGGAAGAGCTTGGACCAGGAGAACTGGCAGAGGACATCATGGGGGTAATTTAAGGAGGGGATATGGGTATCTGCGGGGAACTAGCACCTGAGTCAAGGATGGATAGAGAGGCTGGCTAGTGGAACTGCTGGGGATGATTAAGTGCAGATTGGGTAAAAAAAAATGAGAGGGAGATAGGAATTGGGACTATCAGGTAGAGTGGAGGTAAGAGAGCAATTTAGAAGAAAAGATTATGTCAGGCTTAGCAAGGATGTTCAGCCGAGAGTCCTGAATCATGGAAATGGGGCAAACAGAAGAGACAGAGAGAAGAGGTCTGAGACAAGGAGCCTGAGGTAGGACTGCTGGGACCAAGCTTAGAGGAACTGAGCAGAAAAGCCTGTGCAGACTAAGTGCAGCATAGTCTACAAAGGGCAAAGAAACTAAAGGGCAAAGAAACTAAAGTTTATCAAGTCTTGCTAATTTTTTTTCTCTCTCTCTGCAGTTGTATGCTTTTTTTCCCTTTTTTCCCCTTTACAACTTCTGTTTCAGTTCTTACAGAATAGAAATGTTCTGGAATTACATGATAAGATGCCAGTACTATGTATTGCTCTGCCTGACCTACCAATGTAGTTGGAAGGTGTGTAATGAAAGTAACAGGAATCTGCAGAAAGACGAAAGTACAGATTCAACATTAAAGCTGTTTAATGCTGCTCAGGAGAACTGAACTCCTCCTTTGCTTTGTGACAAGCTTCCTAAATGGCATGAGACGAGCTCCTAAACCAAACTTTTCACAGTGAGCCAGCAATTACTCATTCCCTTTTACTTTCTTGAGGCCTAAGATCTTAAGGCCTGACTAGAGGGGTTGCTGAGCACCTGAGTCCACAAACAACTCAACAGAAGCTTTGCTTTTAATCTATCATAAAATGCGAAGAATTAAAAAAAAAAAGGCATTGAAATGAGCATGTAAAATGACTGGGAGCTGTATAACTTCATGAATCTCTGTATGCCTCAGCTTCCTATCTGAAAACAACATCTCATGGGATATTTTAAAATATTAAATCAGTTCCTGTAACACTGAGTGCTGTGAAAGGGACACTTCAGTAATTCTGTTCATTTGGAGAAAGAGGTGAATATTGGAAAGAGAAAAAGTAGGGTCATAGACTGAGCAAAAAATATGAAATACTGAATAACTGTTTCTTAATTGTTCTGTGAACTGAACAGGGCAGAGGTTCAGTAGGATGGTATGTAAATTTGTGTGTATATATATATCTATTGTGTCGTACATTCTAAGTGCTGGAAGGCTGCATGGGCAACGGTTACACTAGTACTTTGGAGCCTGAATTTTTCTTTTTTCCCCAGTGGGGTTCTTTTATTAAATCTTTTGAGTATTTTGTGATAAATTGTAATACTAAATTAGTAGTGTAGAGAGATTAAAGTGTGTGAAAACACAGAAACAAGCTCTTGCTTGTGATTCTGTGTATCAGTCTTACTGCATTTGAATACCTGTTTATCAGTGGTTTGGAAGCCAGATAGATGATACAAAAAATAATTGGAGGTGGTGTCTGTTTCTGAATATGTTGCACACTAACATTTTCAGACAGTGTTGGATACAGAAGGACAGTGAGGCATGCATTCATATATTTTTAGAGTTTATATATTTCAGCTTTCTGAAATTACTGTGAATTACTTAAAAGTTTGGGCACAAATCTTCATTATGTTTGTATGACAAAATCTGTCTTGTATACTCATTTCGTTTAAGATGCATATTACTTTATTTTCAAAAAAATTTATTTCAAATAATTATTGGATAAAGCAGGATAAAATAGTATTATGAACTGTATTTGCAAATGTCATGGGGTTCTGGTGTTTCTAGGGGTATACGAGTAATGGTAAAATAAATGAAGCTGCCTAAGTCAGTGACAGTAGTTGCCATAGTAATTAATGCCCTTTAAAGAAGGGCCTATATCTTTGTGTGTGGGTGTGCGTCTGTGTAATGCGTGTGGGATACTGCAACTGAAGCTTGAATGTTTTGAGAGATCATATTTTGAACAAACAATACTTTAAAGAAAATTTCCAGGTTCTCTTTCCTATTGTATTAAATACTTCTATTTTTAATGTGTTTCCATGTTGATCTATTGCCCAACATCTTGGAAATTTGAACAAGAGCTTACCTTTAATATAAACATGTTTTTTACTAATTGAAAGAGATAATATATAATTACTTTGTCTCTGAAGAAAGCTTAACCAAATTCCACATTAATTTGAACTTTTAACTGGTTTTAGAATTGCTTACAGGCAGTACGTGAACAATTTTTTTTATACTGATTTAGTAAACAAGCTACAGGTGCTTAATCGGATCTGATGTTTATTATAGTTTCATATAGCATTAAAAAGTGGCTCTTAACATTGTAAGAAAGCAGTCAGCATTACCTCAGTGAAAGATAGCTTTCGTAATGTAAATTGGGTCTTTGTTATTAGCCAGAGAACTTCCAAAGCATCTGCTCACTTAAATTTTCAAAAATTCCTACAGGAAATTAATATATGTAAATACATTCATAGACTCTTTTATCAGTTTATCAGAGGCTGCTTGATGCCACCGATCATGCATTGGGTTTCTGTGTTACTCCTGTTCCTGGCTATGCCCTTCCAGCTGACGGTACGTCAGCATAAAATAGCCATGAGTAACTTGTTCAAAAGTTGTTAATGTGAGAAAGGAAAGTGTAGAGAATGCAGGTGTAGGGAGAAAAGTCTATAGAATGTGATCAGAAGCACGGGAATAGCAGTAACAGTTGTTAGAATAGTTTAGAATGTTACATAGTGTGCTTTTTTCAAACATGTAGAAAACATAGCTGTTTCACAATGTTCTTCGATTTTAGTTAATAGAAGCCCATGTTTGTACTTGCAGTTCTGTGTTCCTCTTTGTCCTCAGGTTAAACAAAAAGAGGCAAGAAAAGGACAAGATGAGCAAGACTCTTATTAGAGAGAGAGGAAAAAGTACTTCTAAAAAGACAGGGAATTTAGCCGTAACTTAATTGAAACATTAGTGACCAAGAAAAAGAATTGTTTACTATTATATGTATCTTTTATATATAGTCATTTTGTAGGGTTACATCAGGCTTACCACATTTGACAAAGTGACATGCTGGAGATGGGAATATTCTCCACACTTGGTAATTCTGGATTAATTTTAAACAAAAAAAGGATTTTTTTTTTTTTCAAGACAGAACACATCTAGAGCAAATACCAACTGAAGATGATCAGCTTTAGTATTTGAAGCAATGGGAAGCATTGATCCTTCAGATAATGGAGATAGTTGTTTAAGCTCAGCTTTTCAAATTCAGCCTGTTTTGAATGCTGTGTATGTGACTTTTCAAGTAGCAAAGTGTAGTACATTTAGACTGGAGAGGCACAGGGGTGGGGGTGTTTTGGAAACTAAATTTGATAGAATAGGTATGCTTTTCTGTACAGAAGGTCTCGGAGTTTTCATAATGGAAGAGTGATGGTGGCATGGTGACTGAATCAAGAAAGCTTGTGATAAGAGAGGGATGGTCATCTGGTAACTTCTGTGTATGTGGGTTTCCATGTAATCTTGGGCTTTAAATGTCTTAGGTCTCACCCTGCTTTATTCTAGTTTGTTACTGTGCTTTCTTTTTGGATGCTGGAAGAAGTATGTTGCATTTAGTCTTCCCTCAGGACTAACCGCATTGTCTCTTCGCTTTACCTGGCTTAAGAAGTAGATTATAATGATTATGTGATTTTAAGCATTTGAATAAAAAAGCTAAATATTGTGAGATAAAGGGACTTTCAAAACTGGAATATACTTGGGTTTATGGCCTCTTCAGTTTATTGTTAAATAAATTATATATTCTTTTTCTTGCAGAGATTTTAGTAGGGCGTAAAGATAGTAAATACAAGTAGGTTAGTTCTGTGAAACCTAAATACCCACAGCTATGCCTACAGCTGTCCTGTTAAGGCTTAAATATAAATACGTACAAACTAGAGAGTGACCACAGACTGATTAAATGCAGTTCTAAGAGCTGAATTCAGCAAAGCACTGATACTCTAACGTGGATCGAATGAGGCCTGCAG